AGGACGTGGGTTTCAACATTGAGCTGAAGTGGATTTGCCAGCTGAAGGTGACTGAATGTTAAATTGAAGAGATTTTTTCCACGCATGCACACACAGAGTTACTTGATGGCAGTATTGTATGTTGTTATGGACAGGATGGCTCATGGGAGGGAAGCCTTTCGACCTACTTCAACATGAACACCTTCCTCGACATCATCCTGTCCTGCGTGCTGCAGAAAGGCGGCAAAAGACGTGTCGTCTTCTCCAGCTTTGACCCCGACATCTGCACCATGTGAGCAAAAGATTTTTTTTAAATCAAACACGTTTTTGTGCATCTGCACTGAAACTAAGAGTCCTTAGTTTGAGTTGTTATTCTATCCTCTCATCCTATTAATTAAACCGCTGCAGAAACCCTGTTTCCAGTTTGACTGGTTTGTCTTGGTGAAAATGGAAACCCTCAGGCAAATAAAGTCTTCTGTAACTTTTATACATGAACTTTACTGATCATAAAACAGTCACAGAAAAGCAGTGGCATACTATGACTTTACATAGACATGTACACAACATTTATAAGGTAAGGTAGTTTAGTCAGTTAAGGGCAGTCTTCTTTGAGACTTTATCATAAATTATGGCCTTGGTAAATAGTTTCTTCTCACTCCACCTGTAATCCTATTCCTGTGTTTCCTAGGGTGCGTCAAAAGCAGAACAAGTACCCCATCCTCTTCCTCACCCAGGGAATTTCCGAGAGGTATCCTGAAATGATGGACATCCGCTGCCAGAACACGCCGATCGCCATAAGTTTTGCCCAGAGTGAGAACATCCTGGTGAGCATCTGTGAACAGAGATGTCGATATGTTTGACTAAAAACATCGTGGCAGTAACTCATTTATGGGAATATTCAGGGGATAAGTGCTCACTCTGAAGATCTGCTCAGAACACTGTCCCACATCGCTGATGCTCAGTCTAAAGGACTGGTGGTGTTCAGCTGGGGAGATGACAACAATGAGCATGAGAACAGACGGATGCTGAGGGAGCGGGGGATTGATGGTCTCATCTACGACAGGTAGGTTAACATGTGATATTCTGACTACATGCAGTACTATTTGAAAAGGCGTTCACACTTTGGGTGTGTGTTTGTTTATAGTCATTTTCACCCAGATGCTATTTGATGAGACAGATGATTGACATGACATCCGGTTGGAAAGAATGTGCTATTATTATTTCATTGTTTATGCGCCATGTCCAGTTTCAGTTCAACCTTTTTCACACTCAATATTATCACAATCATATTCTGTCTGGAAGTTTTGCAGTTTCCTTTTTTTTCACTTTTTTCCAAGTTTCTTATTCTGTGTTTTGCACAAACAGTTACTGTTTGTTTACTAAGCTGTTTTCAGTTCTGTTTTTGCTCTACATTGCTGTCTGAACATGTACAGACATTTACTGATCCCAGAAAACACCTCCGACCACAGCCTTTACACTAAAACATTTCCAGGTTGTTGCTGTTTTAACTGTGCCTTTCTTTTTTCAGAATTTGTGAATGTGTGGTGCCATATTTTGACTCAAGTTCTCCAGGTTTCCGTAACGTCTCTTCGGTTTCTGTCTGTGTTCTGTTCATTTACTCACCCATAAGTCATGGCTGGGTTTTGTTCCCTGACCTTCGCTCTAAAAATGCAGCCCGAAAGCCCAAATCTTACCCACCAGAAGGAACAATACATTGTTCCTTAGCAATGATACAGGACGGTTGACATTCCTTTCAGTGCTGTTCTGAAGTTCAAGGCACTAAAAAAAAATGATGAGATTAAATCAGGGTATCAGTATCCAGATATAGGAATGGAGTCATTACTTTTATCAATAACTCAAAGTCTCTTAGACTTTGAGTTATTGATTAAGACTTTTAATTGCCTATAATTTGTCCAGTTTCTCATATTAGATTGTTCCATGCAGCCTGTACTGTCAAAGCTGAGAAACGTTAATCATTACAAACTCAGTCTGCAGGGAAACATCAGCCTTCAGCTACCTCAACAAGTAATGTGATGTCAGAGTTGACACTCCATTATTTCAAGCTTGTTCTGACTGCAGTGGCACGTTTGTGTTTGATGTAAAAGCTCTCTTTGGCTAACCGTGCTATTTGTTACTCCCAAGTATGGATGGGTTTTTTTTCCCTTACATCAATTGGATACTTATCTATCTATCTCAACACCTAAAGTGCCTGAAACTTTGTGCCCAGCACAGCAATTTGCTTAATAATTAATACTGGACTCTCAGTTGTAAAGGTCACTTTAGTTGACGTTGTAGTAGTTGTTTTAATTTGTCAACTGCCATGTTAATCATTACTGAGCTCTCCTGATCTGATGCTTTGTTATATTCAGATGTGTTGTTTGAACACAAGTGAATGGCTTGTTTCACGCATGAGTCCGTTGGATTTTGTCTGAATTGGAAAAAAAAAAGGTTGCAGAGGTTGCTCTTAATAACAGTTAGTCAAAAACTGCGTTTCAGCCTGGATGCCATTCACGTTTGTTTACTATAATAATAGCTGCAGTTTTTTTACAAAACATTTTAATTGTTTGCACCCACAAGAGTGGAAATAAATGGAGGTGCAGTACAAGCAGACCTGTTCTGCACCTTGTTTAATTTGTTCAATGGGTGAACGCACTGGATGTTGGTTGAATGTTAAAGCATCCATTTAAATTATGATTTTTAATATCGAATAGCCTCTCGTTCTGATCTCAGCAATAACTACTTGAGATGAGATTAAGTACAGAATTAAATGGTAAGGAATACTGTAGTGTCTAAAAATGATCATGGCAGGGCGTTTCCATTTAAATGGTCATGACCTACAATAAAGTACTGATCTGAAAATGAGAACCAGTGCAATCACAAACCACTCCCTTCCTAATGAATGCAGCACCCCGACTCATTCATTACATGGGTGCATGAAATGAAATGTGCAGGTCTGAGGCAGTGAGGTGGAAGCTGAAATTGCACGTGGCCTGACAATGCTTGTTGTTATTATTTTCATTATCATAAAGTGGGGGAATGAAATGAACTATTTTATCACAATAAAATAAGAGCGATAGTGTGATAGTTTTAAACCGTGTTTGAACAATTTCCAGAATTTGACTTGAGCGTGACAGAGTAAATGTGAAATTTTGTCACAAGAACAGTTTGTGCCTTCTTCAATGTGCACTATATCCACGCTCAGGGTCTGTGACCTCACTGGGGGTCATTCAAGGAACTGCTGAGGGGTTATAAAATAATTTGTTTAGACAATGCCTGGAAAAAAGATGAAGACCCTTCACTGTAAACTGTAATGTAAAACATGAAATGTGTATTTTTTATAACCATCAACCACTATATACAATTAATTATAAACCAAAAAAACTATAATAAGCCACCAGATGTCACTCCTGACCTTCAATCTAACTGAAGCCTGTTTTTTTTTTTTAGTATCTGTGAGGATCAAGGAGACAAGCCAAACATCTTCCAAGTAGAGGAGCAGCATACCCTGCAGGAGGTCATTTCAGAGGAGACCCTGAAGAATGCCACCTGTTCCTGCTACTCTGTCCCTTGCTCTATGGCTCCCTGCAAAAACTCAAAACCTCAGGCCAGCAGCTCCGAATCAGATTCTGGTCTCAGCTCCCTGTAAAGCAATTACCTGCACACATGCACTCAAGGTGACCAGTGTTAGAAAAGAAGTTATTGTCTTTTGACAACAAAGATAATTAGAAAAAAAAAACAATGTCAACAGCTGTAGGGGGAGGAGCTTGGTTTGCCAAAGTGTAGTGTTTAATGAAACTGCACAGTCGTCGCAATTACTTATCCAGCCAATATGTTTAATACCTGCATAGGCCAAGTGCTAAAAATCTTTTTATTTTCACAACTTCAAGGTTTTAATTTCATGTCGTTTAGTTCATGTCGTTCTATCGTTTCTTCCTTGTGCATGTAGCCATTGCCTTAAGTGTTATTTTATTAATAGCAGTGACTAGCAACCCAACTTGTATAAAAACCAAAAAAATAGGATATAGATGCAGCTTGCCATGTCTTTGGCGTTTAGACTTCAACACATGTAGAGCAGTATGTGCACCTCCTCTGACCCATGCAGATAGGCTTACTGGCTTAACATTTACACCTGCTAATAGCTGTCATCAATAATAACGTCAATAATAACAGAAACTATGACATTATTTACTTGAATTTAGAACAAACAAAAGATGATTTATTTGCTACACTGCACATTTGACAGTCTTTAATAGACAAATGAAATATGTTTGTGTTTACTTCTTTTATTATAATTACCAATCACTGACCTAATATGTTTGGGGATTTCTGTACACAACAATTGTACAACTCCATTGGAATGTATAATATCCAACACTATTTGTATTGCATGTTATATATTTTGTAATTGAATTTGATAACTCCATATTCAGGGAAAATTGTGATGGATTATGCTGTAGTACAAGTTAAATATTTATGCTCGAAATTGATGTAGAAAAGTTGTTGTATCATTCATAGAGTCGAACATATTCAGAAACTGAACCTTTAGTGTGGTATTAGTCTGCCTGGATAGCAACTATGTACTTGAACACAGATATTTGTGTGGTCATGTACAAGAATTTAAGAATGTTATGTAGCATAATATGGAAATAGTAATATAAATAAAATAGTTCCACACTTATGAATTTTTTTTTTTTTTTACTCTGTCAACTTCTAGGAGAAAAGTGAATATTTTGATGTTTTTTTAAGCAGACATTTGAAGTCTGTTTAATATTGAACAGCGTCTGATTGGAACCAAAAAAATAAACTAAATAAAAAGAAATATAATATTATTACTGCTATTAACATTAAAAATATAATATATAATTAAGGAAAAAGTTTTATATAAAAAACAAAAATGTAAAATGAACATTTGTATTGTATTATACGCCATCTAGTGTGCAAAGCAACGACTTACATAACCAAAGGTTCTTTTATGCTTTCTTTATTAACTTATTGATAAAACCACAATTTGAAAAAAATCATTTAGCATTAGAAATTACGTAACTTATAATGGAAACGATATATAGTGAGCCTTATATTTCACCCGGAGTTGCAGTTTGTTAAGCCTCAAAGGCAACTGGGTTTGCAGCCTCAGAAACTACAACTTCCGTGATGCCATGAGGGTCTGCTATGACTCTGGCTGAAACACGCCCACGCCAAATAAACCTCTCGCCCGTAATCCTCGCAGTGCACAGCTGAATTCTTCCGTCTGGTTTTTGCTGCTACGTCTACGTTGTTTTTTCAAACTCTATAGGACAAATGGATAACTCTGGGAAAGAGAAGGAAGCTATGCAGCTCATGGCTGATGCTGACAAGAAAGTCAAGTCCTCTGGCTCTTTTTTGGGAGGAATGTTTGGAGGGTGAGACAGTACTGCGCCACATAACAGCCCGTTAGCGATCGCTAACTTACAGCAGCGTAGTTGGCATGCAGCCTATTTCCAAGCAGACAGATATCTTTGAATGACAATTATTTGTCGTTACATTCAGTCAGCTAACAATGCGTTTCAGTGTGGAATAATGACAGTAGGTGACAGCGAGGTGGTTTATAGGTGGTGATTTATAGAACTATCCCTGGAGATTTAACTAGATTTGAAGCTGCAGTTTTTGGCAAATGTTTTTGTTACCTTTTTAAAATGTATTTACGGCCTTTATTAAAGGATGTTACTGAGTTATTTATTTTTTCTTGCACAGACCAATGTAATAAATATTGACGTATATTTCCGGTTTTAACACTATCCCAGGAAGTAGGCCGGAAGTCGTCGTTAATCAACAGACGATCACTTAGTTGTTTACAGAAGCTATTCTGGTATAATTTATTTAGATACCTACGACAAGTAGTTACATCAGTCCAAGAAACAGTTTTTCGAACATCGTCTTGACCACAATACAGTAATGAGAGCTGTTCCTAGTTGAGAACTGTTTTAAACAGGCTACTAAGTGACATTTGTTGTTACATCTGCATCAATCCATTAATCCATTCTCAACTGCTGTATCACCGACCTTACCAGAGGTCGCAAAATATCTCGTCAATTTTTCTGATAGAACCTTTTACTGCAAATTTTTAGTCACGCCCATTTAATGAATTTGCTTTGTGGTTATATGTCATATTATATATATAGTTTGACTTTATTGCACACACACTTTGACATTACCTCTACCCTTTAAAGGAAAAATAGGGCACAAATGCAGCTGTACACTTTAATTTCTGCTATAGTAGTATTAATAGTAATACTATTTAGTTGTGTGAGAATTTACTGACATCTACTGGTTATAGTAACTCTGACTTGCAAAACTGTTATTCCTGTATCTACGTGGCACAGTGAATGTTTTAACATTTGTATTATTGTATCTAATATATTTATTTATATATTTATATGTTTTTATCACAGTTTGGGACAAATCTGTTTTTTCTGAATTTCAAAAGGCCACGATGACGAGTCTTTTTTAATCAATCTAGGGTGGCCCTGAAATACTTCAACTCAGCAGTTCTCACTGCCAGCTAACAAGCTGAATTTAGGGCTGTCCACAAAGTAATTAAAGTAGTTGTGAGAAGTTCACTTAATATAAAAAGTTTAAAGGACACATGTCACAATGTTTTTTACAACAGCTCCACAGAACCTAAACAGATGGTGCCATGCTATTCAGTATTTTTCTTTTTAAACACTTCCAGAGGACATCACAAGGTGGAGGAGGCATGTGAGATGTACAGCAGAGCAGCCAACATGTTCAAGATGGCCAAAAACTGGAGTGGTGCGTGTGGATGTTTTAATTCTCCTCTCACAACATTGTTTTCTGTACAGCCTTTAATTAGAAGCTGCATTGGCTCTGTAATTTGGTTGTGCTTTGCAAGTGTGGAAAAAAACTAAATTAAAAACTAATTAAAGTGCAAAAAAATAAATTAATGTGAATAAATAAATCTTGGTGTTTCCATTGTCATTAGGTGCTGGAAATGCATTTTGTAAAGCAGCACGTCTCCACATGCAGCTGCAGAATAAACACGACTGTGCCACCAGTTTCATTGATGCTGGAAACGCTTACAAGAAGTCTGACCCAAACGGTAATCATCTCACTCCTGTTTTCTTTCTTTTTCTAACCCTTATCATCACTTACTTGTATATTGTATTAATGTCAATGTAATTAATATGTTCTTATTTAAAACAACAGTGTGTTATTGTTGTTTTATGATTTTTAGGACTCTTCCTTCTCTAAGTGGCCTCATTTAACACATGTCCAAGCAGAGACATGTTCATCGGTTTTAGGGGGAGGGTAGCTAGCTGATGTGTCCTGTTTGTTGACACAAACAAAGAGCTTTCTTGTGGCTTAGTCGTATCCCCAAGGGCTGTGTTAGGCAACGTAAGACTGATTAATGTCCGGGGGAAGTGTTTTAATTTCCTAATCTTTAATGAGATTCCGTGCGAGGTCTTCACAAAATAACCCTCTCTTATTGATGTGTCACTGTTTCTTCCTCTTCTCTTAATGCTGCCAAAAGAGGCAATCAAGTGCTTAAATGCAGCCATCGATATATACACAGACATGGTAAGATCTCAGCACAGAGAAAACCACCAAGTGGATTTCAACATCTGAATAAAGACTACACATTAATGTAACAGATCACACCTGTCTGTCCATCTAATTACACATTCAGTATTTTTTTTCAGTAGCATATGTGTTTGTTGATTCATTGGTTTTACTGTTTAAAACGGATTACCTGTAAAGGTTATTTTACAAGTACAATTACACATCCTCCTCTTCCTACTCCTCAGGGCAGATTCACCATTGCAGCAAAACACCACATCAGTATCGCAGAGGTCTACGAGTCCGAGTTGGTTGATATTGAAAAAGCTATTGCACATTATGAACAAGCAGCAGAATACTACAAAGGAGAAGAATCAAACAGGTACTGTTTTCACTATTTGTTACCAGGATCTGCACTGTTTCTAGTCAGTTCACCCTTAAAAAAAACCTTTTACCTAAAATATTTGACATACCGAGTGTTAACAGGTTTTTAGGTTATATAATATGAAACATTGTGTTTTAGTTCTGCCAACAAGTGTCTGCTGAAGGTCGGGGCCTACTGCGCTCAGCTGGAGCAGTACCAGAAAGCCATTGAGATCTATGAGCAGGTGAGCGTCCCACATGGATCTGTGGGTCATGTTTACAATTTTGTAAATATCAGGGGAAATATCATCAATATCAAAGGTGAAATTTCTGACACTTGTTCTTGGATTTAAATCAATTCAGGTCGGAGCAAACACTATGGACAATCCACTGCTGAAATACAGTGCCAAAGAGTACTTCTTCAAAGCCGCCCTTTGTCATTTTGTGGTGGATGAGCTTAATTCCAAGGTGAGTTTGGAACTCTTCACCTGTTAGTGTGGGGATGGAGACCGGGAGGTGAGGAGAAACACACTGTCTAACACACTTTCTTCACAGATTGCTGTTGAAAAATACGAGGAGATGTTTCCAGCTTTTTCTGACTCCAGAGAGTGCAAGTTGTTGAAGGTACCTTACACCAATGTTCCTAAATCTTCTTAATCTATTAGACCTTTTTCTAAAGAAGTTTATTTGTCTTATCAGAAACTTCTCGAGGCGTATGAGGAACAGAACAGTGAAGGCTTTACAGATGCAGTAAGTCTTGTACACGAAAGCAGAGAGAATTAAAAAAGAATGAATAATGCAATTTGTCAAACAGACATATGTCTTTTTTTTCTGTGGACAGGTTAAAGAGTTTGATTCCATCTCACGCCTGGACCAGTGGCACACGACCATCCTGCTGCGCATCAAAAAGAACATCCAAGGTGAGGAAGAGGGGGATTTGAAATGAGTGGAGTCCACACAGGAGCGTGGCATCGAGGGACAAATCCATCACGCATGCTCTCATACACACACACACACACACACAGAAATGTGTAGCCTCAGTGCACATTTCATAGGGACAGAAGCATCTGTTGAAGGTTTGAGTCCAACCCACTGCTGTACTTTATCAGAGCACACTCTCCTGCTTTTCCTTAAAACATATCTAAACCTAGTCAGAATGTAAATCCTGTCGCCCTCGCCTCTGTCCGGAGGTTTGCTGCATACCTTTCTCTGTTGATGTCTGTGCTGGTGGATTACGGAGCCGTACATGTTACTGAGACCTAAGCCTAGTGTTGATTACAGGCACTGCATGTTTTGTACAAATAATTACTCGTTGGTTAAATGCAGCTCGTTTTGTTCGTTATGTAGGTATTTGCATTGAAATGATTAAAAAATTCACTTGTTGTATATTATTGTTGTAATTTTTTTTAAGAACATTTTATCCCAATTTCTAATGTGTTTTACGGAGAGGGTCATGATTGTTTTTCTATCACCTGTGGAGAGTGTCTTCTTGCGATGGGCAATGATATGCACCAAATGTAGACTGTTAGACATTTGTATTCGCAACCTGGTGGCATTTGTTGATTTTAATTCAATTTTTAATTGTCGTACCCATTAATGAAGATCCCTAAATCAAAAGCTCTTTCCCCTTTATTCCCAAGGCAGTAGCTCTGGGACTGATTTGCATCTTTAGTAACTCCACTCATGCAACTTTGCAAACTTGAAGGTTTACCACTTTCTTCTTACCATTCGCTAAGCATGTCACTGTGTATGGGTCGCTGTATGTCACCCTCACTCGTGAGCAAGACCAAAGTTTTTACCGAAGTGTCAGTTGCCGTGCATATCCAGCTTCTGTCCGACGGAATGACAACCAATCTTGGATATGATCTGTATGCTTGTGCGAATGGACAATAATAAAGGTATAAATCTCATGCTGCCTGGCCTTTGACCTTTTATACTAATTAGTACTGATACCACTAATAATTCAATTTAGCATTCAGTTGTTATTTTTTCCCCACTGCTGTGTCTTCTTTTGTAACTCAGTTAAGATCAATAATACAGTATGTTTAGTCAACAGGAGGTCAGGGGAAAAACTGATTCTGACACGAAAAACATTTATTAAGTAAAGCGAAATGTTTCAGCAGCCAGTCACAAATACTGTAATCCAGATTTATTACAGGTGCCAAAGGTAATTTTCAGCCTCTTTCGATTTTTTTAATCAACATGAATTACCTGAGTACAGTGTATGACCAGTGTAAGGTCGTGTGTCCTGGTCTGTACTGCTGAGAATATCTGGAATGGTTCCTGAATTCCCCCTGCGTTTATGCTGTGAGGTTAAATTATTTGACATTTATTTCAAATCAAACTGAACATCAGTGCTGCAACAGGATGCATTCAAATAATTATAAATAAAACATGGCAAGAACACAGTAGCAACTAACTGAGTGTACTAAATATTCATATTTAAGGAGCAGTTATGTTGTCACTGACAAAGACAAATGTTTAAAGGAATACTTCACACAGCTACTTGGTCTGACGTCTTTTTAAGTTGGTCCACTGAGTCTTCTGTTCTTTGCTCTTTGTCACTTTGGACCGCTGCCGTTTTTTCTCCACGCTCCTGCTCATCGACGACAACCGTCTTAAAACCTTCACCTAGTAAATCCATCTCAGAGGTCACCCTGGTCTCAGAGTCTGGAGCCAGAATGGTCTGTGACACTGCAGCTTCAAGGACAGATGACGAAACGATCGGAATTCCTGAGACGGACGCAAGTGTGCCATCAGAGACGGGGACTGAGAGAACCGAGGACGCCTCGGTGGACAGAGACACAGGGTGAGCCAAGGACACAGGTATAGAGAAGGGGATGCCTGAACCATCTAAGGAAAAGATATTGGCCCCTGTGCTGTCAGTGGCCATGATGGGCTGGATTTGAGCCCCGTGCGGCACCTCTGTGTGAATGACGGTGATGCCGCCCAGGGCGGTGTGGCTGACCAGAGCAATGGTTCCGTGACTTGGCCAGTCGGATGGGAGGGAGACTGGCTCGGCGGGAACCACGATGGAATTAGTGCTGGTTTTATTTGCTGACTCGGCAGCAGCGGAGCCATCCTCAACGGCTGTACCTTTACCATCTGTGGCATCAGCAGATCCTTTGGCATCAGCTTGACCAGCTTCATCTTCAGCAGCAGCACTATTTGTGGATGAACTCTTTTTCTCTTCTGCTCCAACCTTTTCAGTCTTTCCCTTCGTGGGAGTTTGTGATTTTTTATCCTCTACATTTCCCTCCAGTACCACCAGATAGGTCTTCCATGGAGCATCGCAGTCATGGATCTGAAAGATAGAAATAATTGTTATATTCATATCAGTCAGTTCACCTCTGAGCACAGAAGCACCATGCACCCCCTAAAAATAATTATGTTCTAATCTAACCAACCATAATGTGTCTGCGGAGGGTGGACATGTCTGTGAATGTCCGGTTGCAGAGGCCACACATGTAGGGTTTCTCTCCTGTGTGAATACGCCAGTGCCTCTGCAGGGCGTTGATCTGGGTGAAAGTCTTGTTGCAGTCTTTACAGCTGTATGGACGCTCACCTGATCATTATTCAAAACAAAACATGGGTTATTCAGAAATAAGCCCATCCGCTCAGATTTGTTTTTGACTCACGATAGCATTACCTGTGTGTGTTTTAAGATGCTGGTGAAGGGAATTCCTCTGAGCGAAGCCTCGGCCACAGTGTTCACACTTGTGCGGCTTGAACCCGGTGTGGATGTTGGAGTGGTGCCTCAGGTATTCTTTAGATGCAAAACTTTTCCCGCATGCCTCGCACATGAAAGGCTTCTCCCCTAACAGGAAACCAATTAGGATTGAAGCACACAATACATGTTTTCTTTTAAAACATTCAGTTTTAATGTAAAGTATGGGTTTCTGTTTTTTTTACATTTGTACCAAAGGATAATACTGTGGAGTATATACTGTACTGCACTGTAAGTAGCCGTCGTCTTACCTGTGTGCGATCGCTTGTGATAGGCCAACATATGCTTCTGTGTGAATCGGGCTTCACACTCATCACAAGCAAAAGGCTTTTCTCCTGTGTGAGTCCTACACAGGAAACACAGTCATTGTACACACATCAATGTACGTTTAATGTTTTTTTTTTTTTACTTTTCTTTAGTTTCTCATATGAACACAAACTTTATCAAGAGTCAGTATAATCAGCTGAGGTAAATATTTTCTTCTGTTCTCTTGAGTGCAGTATGACAACCGTACCTGTAATGCATTTTGAGCGCAGCCTTCTGGCTGAACCTGGCCTCACAGTTGGGGCATTGAAAAGGTTTTGCACCCGTGTGGGTGCGTTCATGTAAAAGTAGGGCAGTTTTGGAGCTGAGAGCCTTCCCGCACTCAGGGCAGACATGACGCATATTGTTACGTTCATGTACCTGAGGGAAAAAAAAGAGCAGATTAATTTGAGAGGTGTTCTTGGTATTGAACTTTATACTGACACTTCATATTCATCACCTGTCTTTGGTGCCGGACAACATCCTTCTTTCGTTTGAACGTCTTGGAGCAGGAACTGCAGGTAAAGAGTCTCTCGTTACTGTGGACATGCTTTTCGTGGATCTTCAAGTTGCTGCGGTTAGCGAAGGTCTGTTGGCAGGTCAAACAGCGATACACCACGTCTGCTTTCACTCCATGGTATGTACTGTGCAGGAAAGCAGTGACTGGTCACCATGACATCAGATAAACATAGTGTTTGTACATTTTATACAGTCAACAAAGGCAGATTGATGTGAAAGTTCTTGCAAAATGTCTTTTGCGAATCCTACCCGATGTGCTTCAAGTAGCTTCTCTCGTAGTGGAAGGTCCGATGACACTTGTTACACTGGAATTTGCCTTTGGATGTTCTTGTGAAGTTCATCTTAGACTCTCCTTCCTCCTCCACTTGCTCTTCATCCGTTGGTAACAAAGGTGCTTCAGGGTCAACGTTTGACGACTCATCCTCATAATCCCAGTCCTCCACGTGGGGGTCCAGCATTTCCACGGACCTCTCATCACTATTCTCTGCCTGAGCCTCACCTTCAACCCTGTCCTTCATTACCGTGTCTTCACTGGTTGGTTGTTTTTCTTTGTTCAGTGCCTCGTTTTTCATTTGTATTTCTACATTATTACCACACTTCTTTTGTTTGACCCGTTTTTCATCTTTCTCTGCCGTATCTGCCCTGTATCGTTTTGCCTTTGTCTTCTCTTTAGACGCATTTGGTGATTGGTGTTGCTTTGTTGATGAGTTTTCATTTTGTTTTTTCCGTTTTCCTTTCCTGGCACTCTGTAAGTCACACTGATTCGTATTGGATACAGATTTTGTTTTTTTAGGGATTTGTGCAATTCCAGCATTTACTGCTTCACCGCAAAGCTCTGACAGACACTTGCAGTCCAACAATTGTGCAACAGCTTGAACATCCGTGATCTTATCATTGGCCACTTCCACTTTTCCGGTGTACACAAATTCCAAAAACTTTGAAAAATCGTTAGCATGCATGTTAGAGAGTAGCAGTTGGTCCTGTGCGGCATTTTCAGAGAGGAAAATCTTTTTAAAGTAGCCACTAGTGGCAGCAAGAACCACTTGGTGAGCTTGAAACTCCTGCACACTTCCTTGGAAGTCCACCTGCACTGTGACATCACTCAAGAGACCCTGCAACCTCAGCTGGTGTAGGGAGGACAGAATGTTTTCATGGTGGGACTTGGAGGTAAGCTGGACCACGTTGACTCCGGTCATTACTGCATTTGTTCTGTTGAGAACAGAAATAAGATAGCATGCAAAGATTAGCTAAAAGCAATGTCTTGTGATCAGAAAGGGCCTTAAATACAATCAATTGTTTTCTTTTTTGGTCTTAACTATAATAGTTTGCTTATCTACTGGGTTTAACCTGCAGCAGGTCAAACCCTAAGATTATAGACATAGCCTGTTTGAGTGTGTTCAGAAGTCAGGATTGCCATGTCAGTGCAAAAGTATGGTGTGTTCAATGGCTTGAAAATGTTTGTTTTTAATTGATTTCTTTATATAATTAATTTTAAGTCTATTGGAGCAATTTTGTTTCTATATGCAGTAAATGTTAGGCAAAATATAAGTGGGATGTCAGCCATTCAATTAAACTCAATTATTTCAAAAAATATTGTCCTGTTGATCAACTACTTCTTAGCTACGTGCTTGTTGCACATCAAATGCATCAAGAACAGGAATTCCACATCAACTCCAGAAACATTAGGTCATATATACGATTAATCTCGACTTTGCCAGCTCCGGAATTACGGTAATCACATTAGGAAAGCTTAATGCAATACGTCAAAGTAAACATTTAAAACACAACAAGGGGACGAGCACACATAACTGAATGCTTATGTGCACACAATATAGCGCCTATGAACACCTAGCAGTCAGCTACACAACGACACGAAGCAAGGTTTTTCTTACCGTAAGCTTGCTAAAATGGCAGCCCTCCACAAATGTTCCACACCGCGGAACGTTTCCTGTAGAACTCGCTCCCACCACATCCGGTGCTGAGTTGGCTGACTTGGAGTCAGTTCTTAATCGCTATAATTTTCAAACAATGTACCACAGCTGGTCCAAGGTCAGTTTTGCATGTCCGTTGCCTCAAAACGCACGCATTAATATATACTAATAACACAGCGCCACGGATGTAAAAAAAACTTAGATTGTTATGTTTGGCTATGTTTCGCTTTACGCAATTAAAGACACATTCAGTTGTTAAAAACGCAGCAATTCAACAATAAACTGTCCTTTGTGTTTCATTTAACAGACTCGGAAAATTATATGTTGCATTAAACCAACACTTTACAGCTTGCATATCAGAAAAGTGGAATATTGTGTTTACAATGATGTCAAGTAATGTTACCGTAATTCCTTGCAAAGAGCAGTATATTTAGATGCACTACTATATTACGACCACAGGGCGGTGGTATTGTACAGAATGACGCTACATCTGTGTAAGGCACACAGATGGTAAAAACCACATTGTAGACCAGGGATCTCCAACCGTTTTTCTCTGTGAGCTACTTTTTCTAAATAGAAATGGCCTAGAGCTGCTCATGTTGTGTAACATTTATTTCAGAGATTCTTCTTCTTGTTGTTATTATTATTAGTACATATTATATATTACAAAACTATTCTCCTCAATTTGTTTCTTAATTTGTTTTGCCTAATTATATGCCTTAATTATATGCCATATGTAAGTTGTTTAAAGCACAATACAAGGTAGACCAATGAGAACTGAAGGATTCATGTTCATATCTTTACATGAATCATCTACAGAAATGCAGAAAGCCCCCTGTCATTCCCGAGGTGTATGAAAAGCTATGGAAATCCATAAGCCTCACATTTGTCCTAATGAATTCTGCAAGCTAGCAATCTCCCCTGTTCCGGTGACTCATACCGCTCCGTCGACCAAAGCTGCACACTTCAGCCCTGACCTGGAACACTGTGTTCGCCTGTCTTTTATTACATTACTGACACACACACACACATGCACTAGCCCACCTTACATAAAACAGGTCCCTTTATGATTGATTCTATATGCTAGACAGCAATAGTCTACATCTGCAAATATAATCATCTGTGACTATAAGCTCGTATAAGAGTCACAAGTATTTTCTTAGTCATTATATAAATTAAACCTTTATTAATTATTATTAATAATTATATAAATTATTTATCTGCTGACCAATAAATATTGTTTTGTTTTTCTTCTTAATTCACATCATCATCATTTCTTCTTCTTGTACATTATATATATGTCTTTCATTTTCAAAACTCTTTGAATGTGTTGTTGATTAGCTTCACAGCTCTGCAGTAATTACAGCTCATTATTTCCCTCTGCTCGTCTTACAGCTACCTCTACTCTTCATAGATTCACTGTACTGCTAACTAGAACTACTGCACCTCCTGCTGTGGAGCTTCTGAGACAACAGAGCCCATTAAACATGTGATATTATCACGGGACTCATAATAAGATTGAAGATCTGGCAGAGAAGTTTACAAGTGGTTTCTACGTGTCATCGCTGAGTGATCTGTGTGTGCATTCACAAAAGATAAAGAAATATTATGTTTCATAAGTAAAGGTTAAACAGTCATTTCAGTACACTTTTATATACCCTCAGCAGTGACACCATCTGACTGCTCCCATGGCTTCAGGGTGTTTTGTTTTATTTAAATGTGAATCGGGGAGAGAAGACAGTGAACGCCGCATGAACAGATTAGGGGGAAAACCATCACTAGGAAGTCCGAAAACAAATTAAATTCCCACAGATTTGTCAGCGCGTTGTCAGTGAAACAGAGGGGAGGGTGAATTCTAGCCGAAAGTTGACGGACTCAGCAAACAAACGCTCTGCTGACGATGGGTCATGTTTGTTCTGCTATGAGTAGACTCCTCCACAGAACCGAAAATATCAGTCCTGACGTTCCAGGCTGCACAAACAACATGGAAAGATGTGCTGTGTGTGTGTGTGTGTGTGTGTGAGGGAGAACGAGTAGAATTCCAAAACCAATCTGACTTGAATTTGAGGCTACAATGTACACACACACACAGAGACACACACAGAGAATTAAAAAAAAAAAAAAAAACAAATCAGGAGATTGGTGGTAATGGCACAAGCTCGGTTTGGTTTGTGTGCTGGATCGTGCAAACACTAATTTGAATGCTGTGAGGCCAAGTCAGTCAGTCTGTGTCCTTGCAGGACCTCGCTGCTCTGTAACACGGCTGACTCATAGTCCCAGCAGATGAGCCTAACTAGTGATGGTAAACATTTGAACATCATGTGGAAGTGCAGACCCTGGTCGTCCAAATGTAACCGCAGCATGTTCTGTGTGCTTGCCCGTTCGACCGCACAGCTAATGCCAGGCCAATTCAAATCCAAATCCAGTCCAGCTCACTGTTTGTGGTGTCTTTTTTGTCTTTTTCTCCTCTAGTCAGTGAAGACAGTTAAGAGAAAACATGTTTCATGAACTGTTTTCAAATCTGTTTTGATCCTAAGGCATAAATGCATTTTTGAAAGAAAGAAAAAATCAAATCAATACCATGTGTCTGCTTTAGCAAAAGGAAACATTCAATGCATTTCATAGATATCTGTTTGGGATACCTTTCAGTGAGTGAACAGAAGTGGGACTCCACCCATATTTATGTAAGAAAGGAACTGGCTACGAGTCAAATATCAATCAGGTTTGTGTTGTACTGTCAAGGCCGAGGTTGCCGCGCCAGGTTACACTCAACACTCCAGGCCTGTCTGTAGTAGTCTGTCTTAACACTTCTTGATGAATCCCCTTTCTATTTTCCCTTCCAATGGCTGGATGCCACCTCACATTCAGCCAAACCAGAACACTGCTGGAATCCCTAAAACCTCAGTAACTAACATCAAGACATCAGACATCAATGATTCACAAAAATTGCAGAGGACTCTTTGGGCGATCGTTTCTGAAATTTGCTTTTTCTTGGCCAAGTAAAAAAGCGGCGTGTTTCCACGTCCAGGATGAAACCTCACACAGGACCAGGTCATAACCTGAAGAGTCGACCATAGTACTGGCTAGTCCAGAGATCTGACGCCAACATGAGTTACTGTTTAGTATTTGTTTGTGATATTCAGATGTGCAGAGCATTTACAGCATAATGTCTTCACTGTAGAAACTACACAGCCGTGAGAACAAAAGCTGCAAATGGCATCTTTTTGCACCCCCCCCCCTCCCCCTCGCTTCCCTCCTCAACCCCAAAGAGTCTCCATTTGTCTGGAGATGTTTTTCTTTTCGTCTCTGCCCAGTTTGGTAGATACATTCCTTTCATTGATGAAAAGATATACGGCATTCAGAGATGAAATTACTTTCAAAATTGCCTCTGACTCACCATCTCTATTCCCAGTGCTCTCTCTCACACCCTCCCTTTCTCTCTGCCTCCCTCCTTCACCCCCTCCATCTCCACCTTCACTCGTCCTTGTGCACGGTCTACAGTATCTATTGTAACTCTATATACACCACTTAGCACTTCAGACGGCAGACAAACCAGCTGAAGGACAACCACCTCCTTCTGCGATGCCCATAAATAGACTGTTTGTTCAGATTTACCAGTCACCTTACCCACTGGTGCTGCGTGGGTTCTCATGAACAGTGAGTGGGTTGCACCAAAATAGATCTCTGCTGCTGTTGTGTGAGGGTTGATTCAGCCCTCCAGCTCTGAGCTTAGGACCAGTTCACACACAGACAAAAACGATTGTTGTGCTCCTTATAATGTATGAATTTAACATCTGTCCAAAGAATGCAGAAATTCCAAACAGGTGGTGTCACCTCCGCACCGGTTCCCAGGGTTCACGACTCTCTACAACTGCTTAGGACAGCGCCATCAGCACATTCCTTGAGAGCCGGATCCCCAGAAGCAACAATTCCTCTTCCCTCCCTCCCTCCCTTCCTTCCTGTCGCCCTCTTGTCCTCTCCCTTACTTCCGTGGATTGCATCACTTGTCTGCCTCCTGCTCTCCACTGTTTGGACCCTTTAATCACATATGGCACACACACATACACAACCACACATAAACAGAGGAAGAATGTGTACACACCACAGACACACAAAGGCAGACACACACACACACGCACTGTGGGCAGAGTGCACCACGTCAGTGCGCGTACTGGTTTCGTGGCTTCATTTGGAATTTTATGCTCGGTTTGAGGAGAGGATACTGGAGGATTTCCAGCTGCCCTCTGCAGACTCCTCTCTACCCTTCCCTTCACCCCCCCCCCTCCCCCCACTCCACATCCTACACCCCTGCTCCTATACCCCGTCACCCTCAAGGTCAGAAATATCCTGCGGTTTAGGTTTGATCCCCGTGGATATGGCCTTGTTCTCTTTCTCCATCTCTCTGTTTTTCTCCTTTCTTTCGCTCTCATACACACTCACTCAGTGAAAACACACTGTACTACTTCCAGCATTCCCATGCTGGAAACACATGCTGTGATCAGCAATGGCTGGTCTGTGTGCCATAGCGCACGCACACACACACACAAACACATGCACTCCACGTCTCTCGGGGTCAAAACTCTATCCTGATATATGACCTAAAGGAGAAGGAAAACAAAATCGCTTCTAAGTACTGTGAGCACATCACAGACGGCTAAACCACCTTTAAACCATTGGTTCAGAGACTGTAAATAAAGAAGCCTGATCTTTAACTCATTCCCATAGATTCACAGTCAATGGACTGCAGTAGCCCCAGCCAGGTTAACCCTGTTCCTGTGGCTTCTCGGAGTTGTGTAACGTGGCTCAGAGCCAGCACTTGTGCAACAGCGCAGACCTTGGCTCTCTGATTGAATGCCAGCTCAACCAGTCATTTCTTCTCTTCCGCAAGTTGACGGAACACTAAGTCTTGCCCAATCATCGCTTGTTTATGAGCAAAGGCCAAGCTGAGTTTTTCCACCAAGAAGTTTTTCTTTCCTTAATTTAAATTCCACTGTATTTTTGTTTTCTAAATCTGTAGAAAAAGTTCAGGGAATGTAGGTATGTGACAATGTTTGGTTACTGTTTACATACCTGTAACTTCTCTCTGCCCGCAGGCGGTGCTATAAACACTGCTGTAATGCTCTGCCAAATAAGTTAAATGATCTAAAATCACATTGATGTTTTGTGAAAATAGATGTTAACTGTTCATTGGTTATTAGAACTTCAACTTGGGACGGACACATCCCAGTCTGTCTGTGCTTACCATATGGATGGCAGACCTAATATGGCACAGGCCTCCCTCGGTCTGTGGACCTGTGCAGCTCAAAAAATCGTGTGTAAATGGGTCAATATAACGTTCCATTTCCCATCTGACCTTTTCTTCTTACTAGCAGCGTTTAATTGTTTTGGGTTACAGAATATTACTGCCAGCTACTGGTAAAGATTTACTCAACATTTTCTTGCAGAAATGTTATGTTTACTTGCTATTTGGCTTAAAATGACTAATCCTATTTAATGAGAATCTGGTATTTCACATACAGTTGCTGCAGTAGTTCTAGTTAGTACTGCACACTGCCGTGGATTTTTGGCGTGTTGACACAACGGCTCAAGACATAATGTTTTTCCAATATGCAACTGGTTGTCAAATATACAGCGTTGAATTAACTCTGGAGTGGCCTCCCACAGGTCTGTGTTTTTCATACTTCATTTGTCCATTTTTCTTGGGTAGTCTCCCAGAAGCGGAGGAAAACCGCAGACATGAAAATACCTGTGAAATGAAGCTCAACCGTGTGGTTGAACCCACGTAATGCACCCGATATCTGGACGGACTCTTACATGGCAGGAGTGTTTTTAATTATTTTCATCAGGCTTCGTTCGTCACAGTTTATTGTTTTAGATTTAGCATGAAGGTCTTATTACCGCAGCCACGGTTAGTTGCTGCACAAAAGGTCATCGGGAGATAAAGCTCAATCTTAGAGTGGATGAGAAAATGGGGGAGGTATGTACTTTATAAGCAGCCCTCAGTCTTAACTGCTGACCCGTACTCTTCTTTTCCACCCTAGATAATCACAAAATCCTAATAACTCAAGAAAACACAACTTGGATCTAAGAACCACCATTTTCTTTTCATATGAACGCTGCTCTCCCTCAATATCCCTCAGAAAAAGTCCATAAATGGAGAGAACGGAGTGGAGGCTTTAAGGGGGTGGGGGTAAATCTGACAGGCTGATCCAGCAACGAGACCCATAACTGACACTTTTACTGTGGAACAAGACAAGTGTGTGAGTGTGTAACAGACAAGATAGAAATGTCTCAGACACACACACGCACACAGACGTTCAGTCAGAGTCGAACGTTAACATACTCTGTCAGCTGAGTGAACTCACGGGACCAAACCTCCTGTTCGCTAATTTCGCTGCCTTCCGGCTGGCTGGGCTTATTAGAGGTTCTCAGCAGGCCTCGGCAGTGGAAACTGCACGGCCACGTCACGGCTACAGAAGCTGACATCTCATTTTTTTCCTTCACGAACTCCCATTTAATCTCACGCCACTGAAGTGTCGGAGACAATTCTTGCTGTCTATCCATACTGTCCGACGAGTCAAGGCTGGAGGAGAATGTGGGAGCAGCGGAGAGCAGAATGATTTACTGTCTATCTCTATGAATGAATAATGGGCATGATGGTGAGATCATCCGCCTGCACAGACCTGGAACTGAGCTCGGGGATAGTAATTGTGTATGCAACGCAGTTTTGCATTGCATCCGAGTGTATTTACCAGCATTTGCAAATTCTTGACTTTAGTGCCATTTTTCAAACACGACTTAAAGTGTTCAGTGATTCATCTTTCCCTTTTCAGGCTGCCACTGTTTCCATTTGTTTCAGTACAGTGTGAGAGTCATTCAGCAGCGGCGTTAAACCTCCTTTAATCAGATAATCAATCAAATGGTAAACACTTTTTTCCCCCGTCGTTTCTATTTGTGTACAGTGGTAAAATGCTTCTTTAAATCTAATTTGAGATAACGATCTTTGGATAAAGCCACATATTTTGCATTCGTTTTCACCAAATAGGCAGTGCCTAAGTTAGCTCTTTATTTCATTTAAATCTAACTGAATTCTGTGACAGTGGCATGTGCTTTACCTTGAATAACTTGAGGTGCAAATGATCATCATCTGCACGCTGCCAGTCATGGTAGTGAAGCAACCACAAATTATAATTTACATAACTCTCGGTTAAGATCCGAGTGTGTGTTTTCACTTTTTACACCAAACTGAAATACTTAGCGAAGACGTGGAGGCTTCGGAGGTCGGGCTGCAGTTTATCTTCACACCTCATTAGGTGGACGTGTGTGGACATAACACCGTTCATGTGTGTAGCAGCAGCAGAAGTGTAAGGGGGATGACGGGGGTGCGGGGGTCACCATGACTTTGCCACTGCAGTGCAAAATCAGTAAGTCACAGAGAGGCTCATTTTTTTCACATTTGTCCAGCAGGTCTCACATCAGAGCACAGAGAAGCAATTTACCTCCTCAGCACTGCCCAAATAAATACACCGACTGTGGTCGTAGCCTCACCCTCTTCCTCCTCCTCCTCACCCCCCTCCCCCCTCCGTTGTTCTCATCCCTCCCGTCTGCGAACGATAAAAGTCACAAAGACCGGAGAAAGATGAGTGGGTACACAGGTGGATGGACAGAATGATCCACTTTACCCCATTAGAGGAAAACGTGATGTTCCCTGCCATCCCAGTGAATACGGGTTGTCATGGAAACCAACTGCATTGTCGCAGAGATCTCACTGTGGTTCTGTTTGTCCGTCTGATCGTCTCTCCTCACATCCATGTAGTTCTACACCCAGATCATCAGTCATACACTTCTGTTTTTGCCCGTAGGCTGAAGTGGGGAACAAAATACAACACAGATAGATGGGTCAAAACACATGCAGCGACTCCATGGACTGTACAGGAGAGAGTCTCCTCGGCCTTTGACAGCATGATAGATGTGGGCCACACCATGCAGTTCTCTGTTGTCAGTGCTTATCATTGTGTCTTTGCAATTGTGATCTGGGCTGTTTCCACTGATTATGTATCAGGTAGATTATGTGCTTTAATCATGCTCTCGTCTCACTGATCGGCTGATGTGCTCACTGTGTTTCCTGCTTATCCAGGCCACCAGATGTCAAAATCCGGGGGCTTTGTGCGAGTCAGGACCACATTCTCAGCACTGGCAGGAGAGAAAGAAGATGATGACAGATGTGAAGGTGAGTATCAATCTCTGCGAAAAAAGACGATCTGTGGAAGTGTTTGGCAGAGGGCAAGGTGCATGTGTTTGCCAGTGCCTCAGGTTCACCATGTGGTTTTTATTTCAAGTTAATGATTGATGACACGCAGACACACTCACGTACACACTCCAACAAATATTTACAGGACTTTGCAGTATACCCTGATTATTTGTACCGCTAAAATGAACCCTAACCATACCTGATACTAGCCACGCAGGCATCCCCCAGCCCCTGACCCTAACCACATCTTTCACATGTCCATACCTAACTTCAACCTAACCCTAAACCTAAGTTATCTTCTTAACTCTAAAGTAAATCTGGAACTTTAAAATCGCTCTCTCACTCAGCGGAGACCTGCAAAATGTCCCCACAAAGATGTGCCCACGAGTATAGCTTTACCAGGTGCACACACACACACACATATAAAAATATCTATATAGACCACATACTGTATATAAAAATATTCAGTGGCTTTTAGTTCCAAAAAGAAGTCAAGGAAGTAGGACGGAAGTAACAATTATCCACCTGGGGAAACTCTTGTTGCCAAAATAACTATGAATGAAGTCTATATGAAAATGAGGTTAGCGCTCGCCTGATTTATAGGCACCGTAAACATTTTACTGAGGAATTTATAGCCACCTGTTTCAGGTCGTCCTTAGTAGAACAGGGTTAAATTAATTAATATAATTTTTTTTCTAACGCTCTATACTGAGCATCCATGATATTAATGTAATCAGTGGCATTGTTTAATATGCAATAGTAGAAAAATACAAATTAATTATGAATTAAAAATAAATGGCACATTATTGTGTGTAAATGAACCCCATTTTGATTGTAATTTCTTCCTAATTAAAGTTGGTTGATGCTAACAGTTTAGCTCTGGGCTCTTAAACCAAAGGTATTTTATAAAGAACCAAATAAAATCGTTTCCTTCCTTTTTGAAGTCGCTTATTTATTTCTATTCTTTATGAAGCACCTTATGCCATTAAGGTGCATTTCACTTTCAGGTTATGGTCAATTAAGTTTGTAAATGAGTGTGATTTCTAATCATCTTTGAGGCGACCTCAACGCTAACAAATAGAAAAATATGAGGTTTTTCGGTGGAGCTAGTTTAATATTAAAAAAAAATGCAGGAGTGCTTGAATACTCAGAGGACTTTGCTGTCCTGCAGCAGCTGCTTCCCAAACCCATATCAATCCATCTTCCAATACATTAAATGAACTAATGAGATGTAAAAACCTGGCTGTTTAAAGTCAGTGATCACAGGGTGCGGGTCTGTTTCCATAACAGGGCAGCATGTGATATGTAAAGGCGGTTATTATGCAGCCAAGTGCAAATCAAACATCCGTTAACAACAGAGTCTGAGCCCTGTACGAATCTCACTGGAGTCTTGAGCTCGGTGGTGCATAGCTGATGAGTTTCCTGCCTAACTGCTTCCACCAGCCAGCCAGCCAGCCAGCAAGACAGCCAGCCGCTCCCTGGCAAACAAGCCTGTGTATGACTCATCACATGGAGCATGTGACCTTTCTCTTAATGGTGATACACGCGTGAACACACACACACACACACTCACAGGCAAAATCACACACAATGCCAGGGGCTTCCCTCGTCAACAGAGCACCACACGTATTAAATCCCTGACAATCATAAAGAACAGGAAACCCCTTTGTGTTTTCCTTATGTCTGTGCTGTGCACACATGCAGGCACAATTATTCCACTGTGAAGCTGTGTTTAAGAGAGTGTTGATTTTCCCACCGGGCCAGAGTTTAATGAGGAATAAGTCACATAAATGGACCCCCTTAGGACGACGGCCAGGTTAATTTACCCTTTATACACTGTAGATCAGGGCTCTTTCTTCCTCTCAGAGCTCCGTTTACAAAATAACAATGGTGGAGAGCTACACACTCAATTCCAACAAATAAACTCTATCATGTTTCATAGACTGAACATTTATAATATATTATTGTCCACATTTGACATTATAGTAGTATACACAGTATAATGTTCACCAAACCTACAGTGTCATATATTTGTCAAATATTAAGCCCTGGAGACCCCTGCTGTAGATGAGTGAATAAATGAAGATCGTCCCAGTAACTGTATATCAGTTTCTGTGCCAATGCCATGTGCATATTCATGCAGATGCAGTCATTATTACTGATGTGAGCATGGCACTCTGCATACACTACAAGCACAGATAAATATTCATTACACATGCACGGCAAGTGTGTTTGTGTGTGTGTGAACATGTGAGTGTACGGTGTGTGTGTGTCCTCTGGGGTGACAGACTCTGCTGCTCTGGGCTGTTTTTGTTTATGTTTGTGCAGAGTGAGAGTCAGTTTATGCAGAATCAGACTAATGCCACAGGAAGTCGTCGACTCCATGAATCCAGCACGCAGGAGTGGGTCCCTAATTCCACACCGCGCAGACGTTAAAGTCGCACGCTTTGGTCAAAACAATGCAGAGGGGCAGAAATGCAAAGTGAGGGCGAGCATCTCCAGGTGTGCAATGATGGCAGTGAAGGCATCTCATTATCTTTCTGTCAGATTTGTCTGCATCTTGAAGAGGGTAGGAGAACGCTCCGCAGCAGGGAGGAGTTCATCAAAGACATCAGAGGCTGAGACGACCACATTAATATTCTGGTGGCCTCGTGTGTGCATACCACTTCTATTATGCAGAAGTCTATGCACAAAATCTTTTTACAAATTAAAATCATGGACTATATATAAGGAAGAAAGAAAAAACGTGAGTATACAATAAACATTAAAAGGTTCGAAATAGTTATAAGGGTTTCTAATTTAGATTAGATGGAACCTTATTGATCCCACACTTGGAAAAATGCTTTTTGGAGGGAGTTCCACGTCAATGGTGCGTAACTAGAACATGCAGTTTTCCCCAATAGGTGTTAGAACCTGGAGCTCTTTAGCTAACAAAACGTATGTATATGTGATGTAAACAGCTGAAGTTTTGAGTTGGTTCCCGTCCAGGCTAACAGGCTAACAGGCTAACTTGAGCCCCGACTTAGACAGATATCTCTGTTGTCACACTCGTCTGTCTTTTAACACTGAAATTAATGATGGAAGGGTCAGGACTGTCGGCGGAGTTCTCACCAAGAGACATCAGCGAGGTGATTAATTTTCCCTGCAGTGCAGCCGGGGCCGTGCAGGTGTCAGGACGCTCACGTGTGGCTGTTTGATTAGTGACAGCAGGACATGTTTGCTCGCAGCAATCAGTATAAAAGTAAAAAAAAAAAAAAAAACACTGTCTCTCTGTGGCTCTCACGTTCGCCTGCACATGCCCAAACACACAAACTGATCTGCCCTCCCCAGGGTCACCTTGAGCTGCACAAATTGGCTTTGGCTGCCAGTTGTAAATTAGTCAGCCGCTGCCGCTCCCTTTCAAGCTCTTCACTTGACTCTCCTTCGTTATGATTTCTGTATTTTCGTTCTTCAGCATCTCCTTCTCTGTCTGCCTCCCCAGCACACTGCTACTTTCTAATTCTACTGCAACCCTCCCCCTCTTCCCTCACCCGCTCGCCACTGTCATCTATCATAGCCTTATTTCCTTTATTTTCCTTTAATTTGCACTTCGTCTTTGTCTTCTGGAGCACTTCCTTCACTCCTTCACTTCACTCTCGTCCATTCACTGACGACTGAAGTTGGAGGTTTTTTTTCTCCTTGGTATCACTGAAACCAGCTGCTGTGACATTTCTCCACCCATTCATTCAGCCGGCTGTTAAATACAGCTCCAACTGTTTCTCTGGACTTATCGCCGCAGTGAATGAGCTCACGTCCTCGGCTGACGTGCAGGAACTTTGGAAAGTACCTCGGTTTGGGAAGATTGATGCTGCCGTGTGGCCAAAACAGCGGCGTCAATTAATTTCCTGGGCGCCGCGACGTCAGTGGAAATAAGCACCTGTTTAATAACTGCCATCAGCGTAGGTTCTCGTTCACGGTGGAGTGAGTGTGTGAAGAGTGTGAGGCGTGAGTGCTCCATTTATGAGGTGCTGAATGACAGTGAATATTAACTTTGTCAGGAGGCTGTGTTTATCCTGAGTCAGCAACTCTTCTTGTGATACTAGAGCTTCTCAAATGAACACATTCATTATTCAAATTTTTAGGAAAGTATAAGAAGTACACTAACATACAGTACTGTGACCTGTGTCAGCAAATACAAATGTTTGTGATGGAGGAGTCTGATGGATTCTTGGTGTCCATGTTTTATCTCTGCCACATCTCTGTGTACTGTAGAAAGACCTGCACTCTGAGGCAGGGGTCTCTCTCTCTCTCTCTCTCTCTCTCTCTCTCTCTGATCCAAACCAAGTCGTCATCTTTCGTCTTGCCACTGGCTGTGTTGGCATGGAAACCCCAGCAGAGTGGGGAACACTGTGTTCGATCAGCAAATGGGTCACATGAACAGAGCAGAGACCACACACACCCACCCACCCAACCACACACACACACACACACCAAACAGACTCACGTAAAACTTGTTAGACATCACATATTTAATCAAGTGCAGTGTTACACAGGATATGAAGTATTTTACCACCAGGCAACAGATTGACCCCCCTTTTCTTCTTGGTGCAGGATGCTGACCCTGCAACACATCATAGAGTTGAATCGTGAGCTCCTCACCACATGTTTGTTTTCCATTCAGTCCTTAATCATTACTAATGTTGACATGTCCCCCCCTCCTGCCCCCCAAATGGCTTTTCCATTTGGGGTCAGGTTCAAAGGAAGTGTGTGGAGGAGCTTTTGTAAAACTGAACCTCGACCTCCTTCACGTAGACTCCGACAGAGTTTGACTGAATTTAGAAGGTGAGGAAAACACCGGCCTCTCCGGTAAAAGGAGAGCCCCGTATATGATGACTCATCGCTGTTGACGGGAAACGTGCAAATGCATCCTCAGAGTAGAGCAGAGGGGAGAAGACATTTATAGTCCGGGCCAGTTTGTACTTGGCTGCAAAACAGTGTTT